GGTGGCATTTTGGCAGTGGTCCACAAGCAGGCCACTACACAGCCACATTTTAGCTAATAATGAACCAAATAAACCATAGATATACATTATCTGGGCCACAATAAGCCTTAAGTGAGTTATGCATCAACAATACTCAACATTGTAAAGAGAAATTTAAAAATGTCCTCCATAAATGTTCAAATAAGTTCCAGATATGTGTCCTACTTGATAAAATAATCCAGACCCAAGTTTTGCACAAGCAGCAATTAAAATGTCACAGATAAATATTCAAAGACACATTCCAATACTTTAAAAACTGTTCTTCACAAGTTTGAACTTAAATGCTTCTCACTCAGATGCTACCTACACAGTAAGTCTGTGAGTGTCATAGCTACACTGTGTTAAAGAGCGCACGACGAAGATGAAAGGTTATATGTCATATGTCTTTAATCCAACAAGGGAAAATACAAACACAATGTAGCACAGCAACATTTAAGACATGTAGACGTAAGACCAGACAAACTCACAGGCTACGTTCACACTGCGGTCGCATTGCAAAACATCTGACATGGATCGGAATTATTACCACATATGGAAGTGGCACAAATCAGAATTGAAAAGATTCTGGTTTGTGCTGTTCACACTGTCATGACAAAAACAGATCGAGTCACATGTGAGCAAAAAAATAAGATTTGGCTCCCGTTTCAGAAAGGAGGTTAAGTGAAAACTCTGAGTATGTTAACCCTGAAATGAGGGAAACTATGGGTTTTCAGTTTCAGAATGGGAGGTATGTCAAACCCGAGAAAACAGGGTAAGTCAAGCCTGTTTCTGAAAGGGAGGTAACTTACACTCAGAGTCAGTTACCATGGTAACTTACTCTGTGAACCTAACCTGGTCAGGAGCAGGTTTTCTTCGGTAAACCCAGAGATTTGTACGGTCTCCTCCCCCTTTTTAAAGCGCAAGCGATGTTTAAATAATTTCATGCACGCTGCAAAAATGCTTTTCTTACTAAGTATTTTTTTTCATATTTCAAGTACAAATATCTAAAAATTCTTAAATCAGTATGGATTCTCTATATAAGAAAATGATATAAGATATTTAGTCTTGGTTCCTGGGGGGCATCTAAGTGCATTTTACTTAAGTAAAATTATCTACCAGTGTGGTAATAAAAATAATCTTAATGCAAATGGAAAACAAGATTATTCGGAGTGTCTATTACTAAGTGCAAATTTACAGTAGCTCCGCCCTCTAATGTCACACAAGGTTAAATACGACAGGTGAGAGTAACGGCTACAGTGGTGTAGGCAGTAACGCGTTGGGTGTGGAGAACTAGCTTGTGATGTGATTTACCGAGTTTGAGTCCGCCATTTGCCGTTTACACTTATTGCAAAGAACTGCACACTACTTTTACATGGTAAATATAATATATCACTATTTTCACTAAGTATAAATAGCATTTAGAGATATTTGCACTTAGCCTACTGTAAACAGGATCTATCGCTAAGAAAGTATGCTAATTCCACTTAGTGTAAATAGCCACTGCCGTATTTTTCTTACCCTATTGGCAGATCATTTGCAAAATAAGACAAATGCACTTAAATTATTATTATTATTAGAGTACCATCCTCAGGAAAGTTTGAGAGCAGCACATCTAATTCTTCCACGAAGTTACCTAGTGGTCCTGGGGGTCGATAAACAACTATAAAATGGATTTTAAGAGGGTGGGTAATAGTGGCTGAATGTGATTCAAAGGAGCTGTTGATACTCAGAGATGGTAAAGGATTAAATTTCCAATCATTAGAGATAATCAGACCAGTACCTCCACCTCTTCCAGTCAGACGGGGGGAGTGGGAAAAAGAGAAATTATTTGAGAGTGCTGCAGGTGTAGCATTGTCCTCTGGTTTGATCCACGTCTCTGTCAGGGCCATGAGGTTTAGTCTTGAATGACTTGTAATAGAAGTAATAAAATCTGCTTTGTTTACAGCAGACTGGCAATTCCAGAGACACATAGAAAAATAAAGTAGTGTATTAGTAGACATAGGCAAAGTGCGCAGGTTGATAGGAATGCGCTGCCTACAGTGTGTGATGCATGGTTTGCGAGTGGTAGTGATAGTAGGGTTCTGGAAACACATAGTAAGATTTGGTTATAAAATCTGTTTCCTGTTTATCACAACAAATGGCCAAGCAAAGCGCACGACACTGACACGGTACGCGATACAGTACGTGACCAAACACGATTATTTTGTCCGGGCCATAAGAAGGCCACCAGTGCCATATCATTGCCTTAAGTGGCCCACATCCGCATACTATCTGGGATGCCACAAAATGAGATTCAAAGGTTTCTTAAGGAATAAAGAAATTATATGGAAACTTTTATATGGCATTTTTAAGAATCACAAAAAAAAAGAAAATGACAAGTTAGCATAAAATAACACGTTTGGAATAAAGCTCCATAAAAACTCAGAGACCCAGATGTGCAGTAGGTCAATCAATCCATCTAGTGAGTATAAATTACTATACTGATATTTAATTAGTTATGTGAGACAATAAAACACAAGTTTTAGTGCATTAAATTTAAGAGAAACAAAAACAATATATTAGACACCAATAATGACATTAGAACGACCCTCTCAATGTCACACTGGAAGATCAGTAAGTGTTCATATTTGAAATCGCAAATAAAACAGTTATCTTACTTCTATCCTTATCCTTGCTGACATTTAAATGCACTTTAGTGATGACGTTAGCTCCACACCAGTATATCCCAGAATCCTCTTCTCTCAGATCAGTGATGTTCACAGTAAAGACTCCAGTAGATGCTTCATCACTGAAAGAGAATCGATCATCTCTGATCGTCTCCAATGAAACTCCATCCTTCACACACATGCAGGCTTCATGTGTTTTGCAGAAGCTTTTCTGATCTTCATCATGATGTATGCACTGGATTGACACGTCGTCTTCTTCATACTTAGTCAAGTTCAGCTCTGGAAATGTTTACAGACACAAGAACATCAATTCACGTCCGTAGTTTCACATATACAGATGCAGAAACCTTCCTCACCCTTGTTCATGATGACAATCAGATGAGTGTAAAGATAATTGAGGTCTGTTTCTAATGTCACTGCACACCAGTATTTCCCAGCATCCTCTGCTGTCAGTCCAGTGATGGTCCCAGTGAAGACACGTGCAGCGCACAATTTGTGTTATTGAATGTACTCTATCTATTCAAGTGAAATCATCTGAATGGACTCACTGATGAGGTTGAGCTGAATTTTAGTGTTCAGGGAGATGAAAGTCAGATATGTGTCTCTGGTTTCTGCTCCACACCAGTAAACTCCAGCATCTCTCACACTCACATTACTGATGCTCACTCTAACAACTCTCTCTTCATTTCTCTCAGATGAAGGAGTCATTTCTGTCACTTTAGATGACCTGATGGTTTGGCAGATGTGATTATTATCCTCTTTGCAGAAATTAACTTCTTGTTGCTCTGGGATCTGACAGGTGATGTTGACTGTTTCACCAAGATGAGCAAATTCAGTCACACTCTGTAGATATTTTGCATCTGTAAATGACATTTTTTTAAATTAAAATTTAAAATTGCATAAAAATCTGAACAAATAATTTATATACAAGATAAATTACTTGAGTTTGCTCACCGTGTTTGAGGTGCAGCTGAAGTTCAGTGAAGCTCTCAGTATAGTCAGATACTTTCACTCCACACCTGTATGTTCCTGCATCTGCAGCTTTCAGCTCTCTAAAAAACACCATCAAGACTCCTGCTCTGGTGTCGTCATATAAAGAAACATCTCCATTCTCCATCCATTCATCCTGAACTCCTGGATTCTTCCTCTCTGAACATCCGTCTGATTCTTTACAGATGTATTTTGGGTTGGTTTTGTATTGAGGATGTTCACACTTGATCATCAAACCACCTCCTGAGGAGCCGCTCACTCTAGACACGCCCACTTTAGCTGTCAATCACAAATATTACTTCTAATCAATTTTGCAGGAAACACAGAATGTAGACACTTTTATACTGGATTTGAGTTTGTTCTACTTTACACTGACATTTAATCATTTAGCAGATGTTTTTATTCAAAGCAACTTACAAATAAGAACAAGCAATTAACCAACAGGTCAGCAACATGTTTTATATTTATGTTTTTAGTGCTGTGATAAATCCAGTCAGTATAGTATCTACTTACTAATAATATGTAGATGAACAGTGTTAATAATGGAGTAACTGTATGATTGTCTGTTGATCCAAACTCCACATAAATAAACTCCTCCATCATCTGGTGTCACAGCAGTGATTCTCACACTGAAGATGTTTTTATGTTTGTCATCAGAAATACTGAATCTTTCTTTCTTCTTCCATCTGCTGTAAATCATCTCAATGGAGTCTTTTTCTTCTTTGAATATGATCTTTACATCATTTATATGATTCTGTGAATATTCACAGCTGAAATTGGCAGTTTCTCCAATATTCAATGTCACTTTCTCTGACACTTCACAACATGAATCTGTCATTCCCAAAATAAATATATGGATTTACACAATTTTGAAATAATCAACAATTTTACTACATAAAGACTTTTAAAATGGCTGACCTTCTTCCACATTCAAAGTCATATCAATCAACCACTGGCCTTCAACCTCAATCCTGTATGTCCCAGCATCTTGTGTGTTTAGTTCTCTGATGTAGATCATGAGCTTTCCATAATTATTGGAAAATAAAGTGAACCTTCCTTCATTAATCCACTGATCGTGTTTCCTATTAATTATTATTTTTGTATTCTGTAGCTTTCTCATGTATTTAGCATTGTCTTTGTGCCAAGGCTTCCATGATCTAACAAGAAGACTTCCTCCAGAATATCCCGTGACGCTAAAGCATCTCACTGCAGCTGTCAATCAGATTGATACTGTGATCAGAAAGCTGATGAACAGAAAACAGCATCATTACTGCAGTGATGAAAGAGAAAAGCTCTGACCTGAGATCAGGTAGAAAGTGAGGAAGATGAGGAGGATCTTCATTGTGAGTTGAGTTCAGTCTTCTTTATGCTGAATGATCTCTGTGTGAATCTCTGTCTCTACATCTGTCTGCTTTAGTTACTTCCTCTTTATTCAGCTCTTTATCAGTAATGAGCAGCTTTACTGGCTCCTCCCACCATCACCACTGACTGAACATCACATTAATCACACTGAAAGAGCGCCACCTAGTGTGTAGAATATTGATTAAATGTTCTTGGTTATATGTCAGTCGCATTTGTACCTGACTTCCATCTATAGTCAAGACGTCAGTATAAGCCCCGGCTGTTTATGGAAGTAGGTTGTCTGCAATTACATGTGATAACTATAAAGTTCTCCAGGAAAGAGTCATTCAAAACACTGTTGTGTGTCTATCATTCATCAGTATATCATTAAACAGGATATCTATTCCTTGAATCATAAAAAAACCCAGGGGAAAACAAATCATTTTTTAAAGTAAATATGTTCATTTATCAAAACAATATAATATAAACAGATTGAACCGTGTTCCCTTATAATAATCAAATTGACCCCTGTACACTGTTGACCCCTTAACCAAACCTTAAACCTACCCATACCACCAAACCTGCCCCTAACCTGACCCGTATCACACCTCAACAGCAGCAAAAGTGTTGTGCATTAACACAAGCTTTTAATCATTTTATAACATCTGTTAAAATCATTTGCAGATTTTCAATAAGTGCTTGGTCAAATGGAATTGAAAGTTTAATGACATTTGTAAGCAAACCTTAAACCTACCCATACCGCCAAACCTGTCCCTAACCTGACCCGTATCACACCTCAACAGCAGCAAAAGTGTTGTGCATTAACACAAGCTTTTAATCATTTTATAACATCTGTTAAAATCATTTGCAGATTTTCAATAAGTGCTTGGTCAAATGGAATTGAAAGTTTAATGACATTTGAAAGCATTTTAACTTACATGAAATTATTTGTTTGAACATTATCTAATGTTTATTAAGTTTATTAGCAAACTTTAACTAGCATATTATCTCACGTTTGTAACTCTTTGAATATATATTTAATAATGATCCATTAAGCATTATATAATGTTTGTTAATGATTTATTAATGAAAGTTATTATAAAGTGTTACCACCTTATTTATTACATTAATCACACTGAATTCTAAAATCCACATAAGTGGTAAGTGTGCACGTTATGCTTTGCCCACTTTCTAAAATCCACATAAGTGGTAAGTGTGCACGTTATGCTTTGCCCACTTTCTAAAATCCACATAAGTGGTAAGTGTGCACGTTATGCTTTGCCCACTTTCTAAAATCCACATAAGTGGTAAGTGTGCACGTTATGCTTTGCCCATTTCTAAAAATCCACGTAAGTGGTAAGTGTGCACGTTATGCTTTGCCCACTTTTCTGAAATCCTGTATGGTAAGGGATACGCGTTATTAAGCTCGTTCCCTTTCTCTGAGTTGGTTTAGACCCCGGTACCTTGGGCTCCATTCATCAAGTGTGTCTCTGTTGACACACTCTGAAAGTATCACTCCCCTCACCATTGAGGGTTATTGTGAGCATGGTGCTTTCTTTCGAGCGTTTAATTCTCTCTGAGGAGTTGGATTCCTCACTCCATGGGCTGTTCTCGTGGTAGTGTTGAGCAGTGCTCCCCTTTTATCAAAGGGTTACCTGTAATGATTCTACAATCGCGCTGTAGGTCGAGCCCCACTCTCGCTGAGAGCTGGTTTGTGCTCCCTCAGCTAAGGTAAACTACTGCTAGCCGTTCCAGCATTGGAACATGCTGTAGGTTGAGCCCCCTTCTCGACTGAGAGCTGGGTGTGTTTCTCCCACAGCTAAGTAAATTATTGCTAGCTGTTCCAGCTTTGGAACATGCTGCAGGTCGAGCCTCCTCTCGTTTGAGAACTAGGGGTGTTGCTCCCTCAGCTAAGTAACTGCTAGCTGTTCCACCTTTGGAACATGTTGTAGGTCGAGCTCCCTCTCGATAGAGATTTGGATGTTTGCTCCCTCAGCTACAGATTTACTGCTAGCCACTCCAGAATTATAAGCCTTAAGATCAAGTTGATGACTTCGCAAACATAGCGTTTTGGGATGCACCATTTCCATCTATGGGCTGCTCTTTCAGAGTGCCACGAGAACCCCTTAGAACGGTATTTTGTGTGTGCACGTTATGCTTTGCCCACTTTTCTAAAAATCCTGTATGGTAAGAGCTACGCGCAAAGACTTCGTGCTCTTTTTGAGTGGTTTAAAACCCCGGTTCCGCCTTGGGCACCACTCCTCCTATCCTCTGGATACCTACTTAACAGGGTGTTGCTACTAAGGGTCTGTTGAGACAGTTCCTTCAGCACATACAAAGAGAAACGTGCGGTAGCCCCTGTGTGACAGGCCAAGACTAGTATGATTCTAGGCTCTTGGTCGTATTCCCTTAAAGGAATCTATTCCTGATTCCAAGCCTTGAGCTCTACCCCGGGCCCAGGAGTCTGGCCCTAACAGGTAAGTATTTTGGGGTATGTAGCCTAGGCCTTTGGCCGTAGGGAATAACGTCACTGACACCCGTCTAACGTCCCAGGGGCAACTCCCATAGCAATATGGTAGAGTTGGTACTTAGTGCTCGCCATGGTTCTGGCATGCACTCCCCTCAGCATGGCGGCGTGGGTATACCGTTCCCCATAGCGACCCCTAGAGGACGCAGTTCGAAGTTCCCATGAAAGGGAACGTCTCAGGTTACTTATGTAACTATGGTTCCCTGAGTAGGGAACGAGACACTGCGTCTCCGCCTATTTATACTATAGTCTAACCATGGTTCCCTACTCAGGGAACCATGGTTACATAAGTAACCTGAGACGTTTTTCCCGTAAGAGCGGGTGCTAACATTTGTAAATTTAATGTGTCTGGCTTCCGGTCTCTGTCGCTTCCAGCTATTTTTAGCTGTACAAAACAACTCGTTTTGATGTGTGATATTGCAAACTGGCGTCTTACCATATTATTTTAATGTATTATCTTAATTATGAGCACACTGGTTTGCAGTGCAAACAGTTTTACAGTTTACTGCACTTTGTTATTCTTCTCGTTATTTCCCTACAGCCGCTAATGAACCGGAAGTCTCGCACATTCAGAGAAAACGGCTTACTTCCGCATTATAAAATAAGGTGGAAAAGGACAAATGACACTGAAGCAATTCAGATCAGTATCAGTGTTTTTTTAATCTCCCACTAGAGGGCAACTGTGCACATAAGTTCACTGAGGTCCCCTAGAGTCTGTACAACAAGGCACTCTTGGAAATGAAAAAAAAACAAAAAAACATCTGATTTGGATTTTTGACATTTGTATTAGTTGTAAGAAACATTAATAGTTTTTTATGAGGAAACAGACTATCAGGCTTTTGATGTGTTTGGATAATTTATACATAAAAACCAATAATAAAATGATAGGTTTGTGGACTCAGCACCATGGACAGCAGCTTCAGACAAACTTCAGCATCATTGATGACAGTTGAACATGAGTTTATCTGCTTCCTTCCCTTCACTTTGACTTTGAGCATAAGAACATCAGCATTAAAATAATGGCTCTATGTAATTATCAAATATTTGGCCAACGTTTCATTCCTCCAGATTCATTCTTAGTTTTTGAACAAACAGGAGGCGAGTAAATCAGTGCCATTTATAATTAATCAAACCAGAACACAAGAAAATAAATGTATGTTCTCTATCAACCACCACACAATAGTGCTTAAAACTAATTTGAATGAAACCAAGAAATGTAATGTTTAGTAGAAATGTAACATTACCTCCATTTTGCCACTAGATGGAGCCAGAGGTTTCAATAAGACAGCTGGTTTTGCGTTTACTGTAGGTGCTACAAAACTATAATAACAAATGCAATGGGGAACTGGAAACAAACACTATCATTCAATAATAGTATATATAACAGATTCAATAGAGGTCGTCTGCACAGCCTACAAGAACAAATATAAAAATATGAATAAATGGTTCTGTAATTTTGTGTTTACAGTCTGATCAAGTTCTCGGGCATTATTCTTTCACAGACTATAACAAATGCAGTGTCTTTATTGTATATCCTTAAAATGCACTATCCCTAAATAAATTTGACAAAATAAAAGTGTTCATCCAGCGTCATATATTCTGAATATGAATCTAGTCTGATATATTGTTTGAAATTAATCGTTTTGATATCTCAGCATGTTAGAGTATGGTGTTTAATATAACAATGCATATACTGTATAATTAGAAACTTCCATAATTTATTTTAGTCATGTTGTTTGAGTTTAAGATAATGTGAGATTCACGAGCCTCAGCGCGACCGTTAAGTTAAACCACTGCTCCAAAAAATAGCATATAAATCGTCCATACGTTTCGTGGTGTGTCATTGCAAGTCTTCTGAAGCCATGAAATAGGTACGTGTGAGAAACAGATCCAAATTTAACTCATTACTCAATGCAAATCTTGTTCTAGCTGATCTGCCTGTTTATTCATTTGACGATTCACCCGTGAACTTTGTTTTCATTCAAACGGACGCGCAGCTCCATATAAAGAGAAAAGGGAGGAGTCGAAGCTTTGCTTAAATCTCATTGGCTCTCGCGCGTGAGTGTCGTGCCATATTTGAATACTTACGATCTAAATAAGAACTGAAGGTTCTGTGTGCCATAGTCATAGTGGATCACAGTCGGACACAAAAACAGTTCAGAAATGACTGTTTAATTTCCCGTTTCAAGCACTAATGTATTATTTCAGGAGAGGCTCCAGTGCTACAGAGCAAAAGGCACTGAGGGATTCTATATTTAATAATGCATTCTTACGTATTAATTACTACAGTTGGTTGTACTTGTTGTACTAGCAAAAACAATTCTGAGCTTCCTTCAAGTAAGAAAATCAGATATCTACAATAAAAACTTGGAGAAAGAACTATTTATAATTATTTTTATTTTTCAAATATTCCACACATTTACTGTCACGGTTCATGGGCTCACTGACTCATTCTAGCCGGTTAATACGGTTGTATTGACCATAGTGGACCGTTTCTCGAAGGGGGCCCATTTCATTCCCTTGCCCAAATTACCCTCAGCCAAGGAGACCGCGGTTACTGTCGTTGATCACGTCTTTCGCATTCATGGCCTCCCGATGGACGTGGTTTCCGACAGGGGACCCCAGTTTGTTTCCAAGTTTTGCAGATTACTGGGGGTGAGTGTCAGTCTGTCCTCTGGTTTCCATCCGCAGAGCAACGGCCAAACGGAGCGGGCCAACCAGGATCTTGAGAGAACGTTGCGATGTTTGGTTACTCAGAATCCTTCCTCCTGGAGCCAACAACTCTCATGGGTGGAGTACGCACACAACTCGTTACCAGTGTCATCCACGGGCCTATCTCCGTTTGAATGTAGCTTAGGGTACCAGCCACCTATTTTTCCCAGTCTGGAATCCGAAGTCGCGGTCCCCTCCGCTCACGCCTTCGTCCAGAGGTGCCGTCACACTTGGA